GATAAAAAGCTTCAAAAGGAGGGTAAGGGCAAGGGCTAAGCTCATGATTTATGGATCAATAGCAGACCAATATGTAAGAGTATGTGACTATGGGAAGGCTCTCATGAAGTACAACCCTGGTAGTGAATGTAATGTTGTACTTGATGGAATAGAGCAGCCTGAGCCCCAATTATTCTTGAGAATGTTCATTTTTGCCTTGCACCTATGGCAAAAGGATTTCTCCCTGGCTGCAGACCACTAATTAGGGTTGATGGATGCCATCTCAAAGGTCCATATCCAGGTCAGATACTAGTTGCAAATAGAGAATACAGAAACATGGGTTTGGTTCCTTGAGAGTCTGATGAAAGCCCTAAAAGATGAAAATCAAGGCCTGGGATATACCTTTATGTCATTAGATAGGCAAAAGGTAAAAATAAATCCAAAAATGTTAGAATGTTGAATTTAACTTTGTTCACTTGACTGATTTAGTGTTTGTGCTATGTGAACAGGGTTTGCTAGAAGCTTTATAGCAGGTTGTTCCTTATGCAAACACAAGGTACTGTGTGAGACATATATAGGCTAACTTCAAGTTGCAATCTGGTGGATCAACTTTCAAGGAGCTGTTCTGTTAGCAGCAAGGGCAACAACATTGGTATGCTTTGATGATTGTCTTAACTTGGGTATTTGAACTATTATGTCATGTTGTTTGTTTCATTAAACATCCATGTGTGTGAATGTGTGTTTTCTGATCTGTCTCTCTATGTGTTTGCATGTATATCCTTCCTTTTTAGGTTGACTTTGAAGTAGCAATGGAGTCAATAAGGTTAAGGTTCTTGTCTAAGGATGCTTTTGAATATCTTGCTGACATCCCACCTGAACACTAGTCTAGATATGCCTTCAGTAAATTCCCAAAGTCAAACATGTTGCTCAACAACATTTGTGAGACTTTTAATGCTATAATCAAAGAAGCTAGGGATAATCTTATTTTGACTCAGATGGAGTGGCTTAGGAGGTATATGATGAAAAGAAACCATGACAAATGAGAAAGTTTTCAGAAAATGGAAGGAAAGGTAGTTCCATATGTGAAGAATACATTCCAAAGGATAGAACCAGCTGCAAGGCATTGCATTGTGCAAGTTTCTAGGGGTGACAGTTATGAGGTTGAGCTTAACTCTGACCTAGTACAGTTGACCTAAGCAAGGCAACATGCACTTGCTACCATTGGGACCTAACTGGTATCCCTTGTGTCCATGCATATGCATGCATCATGGACAAAAGGGTAGACCCTGAGGATTATGTGGACAACGCTTACCTTGTGTCCACATATATGTTAGCATATAGGTAGGATGTTGCACCTATGTCTGGTCCACACTATTTGGAAAAGGATAAGCTAAGGCAACCACTACCACCAGCCATCAAAGTACAGTCTGGGAGGCCTAAGTCTAAGAAGATGAAGTTAGAGCAGGGAGAATTGGGTAGGCAAAACCAGCATGTGCAACAGCCAATCAAAAGGAGGAGCACATGTAAGAACTGTGGCCAGCTTGGACACTATGCTAAAACCTGCCAAAACCCTACTGTCACACTAGTAGTTGTCTCTTCCCCAAAGAAAGAAGGTGGAAGACCACATTTGAACACTGACTGGGTGAATGACCAGAGAAAGAAGAAAGCAGAAAGAGCTTTAAAAAAAGGTAAAAAAAGATTGATACATGTTGTTTTTGCTTTTTGGAGTTTTGAGAAAAAACTAAATGTTGTGTGTGCTTTATAGAGTGCACTTGGTGGTACCCCTGGACCAAACAATATTGGCAGCAAGAGGTTCCCTCAAGAAGAGCATCAGAGGAAGCAGTAGCAGCAGCAGTAGACTCAGCAGCAGCAGCAGACTCAGCAGAGTCAAGCTTCATCCAAAACAGCTGCCACTACCTCTACACCAGCTCCTTGACCACTAAGAACCAAGCTGCAACCTGTTAAACTTAGAAAGTAGATTGTGTTGCTCCTATTTTGTATGTTAACAGAAGATGATGGGTGGTTGCATTTTTTTACCTTGTTGAACAATGTTAGATATGAACTGATGTAATTTGGATGCCTATGTTATTATGCATTTGGCTGTAATATGTTGGGAAATGTTATGAATTTGACAATATGACTTGTTCAATGTAATTTCAAGATTATGCACGTATGTGTGTTGCCTTTTATTTTAAAAATGGTTCTTGTTCAAACCAAAAATGTGCATCAAAATAACTTGTTTATTTCATTCCTTACTACATAGTAATATCATTACAATCAGCCCAATCTTCACTCCACCTCCCCCTTAAACCAGTTTATTGAGTACAAGAGAACCTAAAACTAAAAAAAACAAAACACATAACAACTACAACAACCATCAGTTTGCTGTCAGAATTTCCATTGCTGCTCATCATCTTTTTCCTATCACCACTTAGGGCCTTGAATTTCAGTTTCAAAGTGTCAACCTGATTTAGCAAACATCTTCTTTGGCCAATCAAGTCATCAACCTCCCTCTTCAATGAGTTAACTTCAGCCTTCATCAGCTTTTTGTCAAGCACAAGTTGGTTGATCACATCTCTCTACCACTCAGTTCCATCATCAGTGTCAACCCATTCAAAACACTTGCACCCCCTAGTTTCAGTGTTTGGGTCATAGAATTTGCAAGCCCTGAATTTCCTCCCTGGGGTCTTCCTGGTCAAAGATGTCAACTTTGCAAAAGGCAATCCACAATTGCATTTCTTCTGGTTTGTGGGAGATGAGTTATTCCAAGACATCTTCTAACCTGCAAGTACCATAAAAAATGTCAATTTAACCAACCACTTCCATTAGACAATCTATTAGACACATCTTACTCAACCACACCTAGTCATTGTGGTGGTTGGCCTCCATAATGAGGATAACCAGGGGGTAGCCATGTCCCATTTTGTTTCATCCTGTACTCCAAGATATAGTCAGCCAAGAAACCAGGGTCATCTGTGCTCCCAACATGTATGGTATACATGTCTTTATTAGGTAACCTCCTAATCATCTTGAACACATCACCATCATCTTCTAAATTAAAGTCCTATACTTCCCTTTTTAAATATACTGAAATGTGGGGTGTAGGAGGTCAATTGATCCTTCTACTGGATCTTTCATTTCACGAAGTTGATCTTCAAATTCTATTGTTGTATCCAACAAGTTACTTTTGCCTTCTTCATATTCAATGTCAATAAGAACACTTAAATACTTAAATCTGAAAACCACCTTATTCTCCTCCATTTCTGCCACAAGAATTCCAACAACAAATAAACATAACAAGCTTACAACATGATCCAATCAATCATAACAGTACATGAATAAACAAATTGTAAACACAATTTCACCAAAGTTAACTAACAATCAATCAAAGTCATTCATAGAAACCCCAATTCATTAGTACTAGGTACCCTAATTGTGGAAATAACACATATAATTCGTGCTTTGAACAAGAACCCTAATTAACTAATCCCCCAGTTTTCCCCAATTACAGTGCGACAAGAACCCTAATTTTTAAATGAGAATACCTGATGCGAATTCAGCTTATGTCTTTCTTGGGGATGCGTCTGCAATTACAAAGTAGCAAAATCAGTGGGATTTTGGGAGAAATTGAAGTACAAATGGCTAATTGATTTAGGGGAAATGTTTTATAGGAAAAAATGGGGGGGGGAAATCATATAGAAAGCTAAATATAGCCGTTACTAGCCGTTGGGTGGGGCCCACACAAGAGAATTCCACCGGAATTTTGAAATGGATGGTAATATGAGTAGTTATTCAATTTAAGGGGTGGTAAAATAAAATAAATAAATAAATAAACGGGTGGTTAATTTGAAAATGGAGACATTTTTGGGTGATAATTTAAAAATTTGTCTTTATTTAAAAAAACTATGATCGTCAAAAGTCATGAATACATTAGAATTTTCACTACTCCATTAAAAAGTGAGATCATGTGCGATGAATTTCTTTGTAAAAGAGGCCAGGCATAATTGAGGAATATTGACTTCTCTTAAGGTACTACTTCTCTTAAGGTACTTTAACAGGCTGTAATTGACAAATTTCCTATTTTATTATAGAATCCCTTCCCAATTTCGATTTTGTTTTAATATTGGAAACCATTTTCAAAATCCTCTTCTTCCAAGTTCCAATTACATCCCTTTCACAACACAAAATAGTACGTCACTCAGTTTGCCACTCACCCAGCTGCTGTTTCCATCGACGCCGCACCACCAATCGTTCCCTTTCTACAGGTTAGCTCAATCTTTAACTTCATTCTTCCAGTATGAAACGCAATTTCCTGAAAAGCTGAAATTGATGACGGTTTGATGCATTTCTTGTGTTTGATTGAAAAAACAAAAACTAAGTAAATGTAGTTTGATAATCTAAAAATTTTCGATATAGATTATGGATTTATTTTGTTGTTCTTGTGTTGGGTTGTTGGATTCTTGAAATAAATAGTCTCATTTCTAGTGTCATTGTTCAATTTACTCACCTTTTGGTAAGTGTAAAAATTACCCGGTAATCCAAAGCCTACTAAACTCGGACTAATCTGAGTTCGAACCGGGTATTGTAAAGGGGGAAAGCTGTTTCTCATTTGCCATTTTTCTTTTTTATGGGTTCATCTCTTACTTTTTGCTTTGGTTGTGTAACTCATGTGTGATTATTTATTATTTTGTTGTTTGAAGATGGATGACAAAAAGGTGACAGATGAAGGAGTAATGGAAAAGTTTCCTGATGAAATAGTATCTCAGATATTGATCAGGTTACCTGCCAAATCAATTCACCGTTTCAAATGTGTTTCGAAACGCTGGAACTCCGTCATAAAAATGCCCATTTCATTTCTTCATATATGTCTCTACATGGTCCTTCATGGGTTATCTTGGATCGAATGGTTCGAGTTGATACCAAATCGAATGCAAAGGTGATGCAGTTTGATCTCCAATATCCCCCGGAAGTGAGTTCTCTTCAAATTGCTCCTTTTCAGATGGCTGATGAACCATTTCTGGATTCCATTGATGGAAAGAACCCAAGTATTATGTATTGTAGTAATGGTGTTTTCCTTTTTCAATTCAGAGTCAAGAGAAACCCTTATCAATATAAGCCTTTAATGCTTAATGGACAGTTTTATTTTGATAAAAGATTTGAGGAGGATGCTTGGTTTGTGGCCAACCCTCTTACTGGTGAGTGGTTTCCAATTCCGAAGTCTCCTTACCCCGTTCTCCACGGGGGTACTGTCGGGTTTACCTCTCAGGCTAACTCAGTTGGGGTTTTAGAGAGGTTTTTGGTTGTTGAATATCAGCCACTTATTGGGTCTAATCTTGCTACTTTGATGTGCTTTTCTTCGGAAATTGGGAAGTGGGTGACGAAATCTGCAAATTATATGCTGTCTATGCATCAATGGGAGCAGGATGGAGCTTTGGAGTTTGATGGTAAGCTGTTTTGGTTTGATAGAGGTTGTGGGCTAATTGTGTGGGATGACCCCTTTGGTAGCTTGGGCAGGAAGAGCACAGTAAAATGTCGGTTCATTGCGAAACCACCATTGCTTTCTGCCATGAGGGTCTTTGTGGGTGGAGGTTTCATTCAATGTTTGCAAATATCTGAGAAAAGGGAGGGTTATGTTCTGTGGAGGTTGAAGGATCATCAAGAGTGAAGGAGAGTGGAGTTTGGCGCATAAAGTGTCAATTTTGGATATCTGGTCTGATGAGAGCTATTTAGCTTATGGTTTGGATGAAATAACTCCAACATGTTGCTTTATCCATCCCTTGGAAGCTGATGTTGTCTTCTTTCATATTCAAGGCCAGATTTTTTCGTTGAATTTTCGGACTAAAAAGGTGGAGAGTTGTGGTGATGGCTACTTGAGCATCATTGAACACGTGTTTGTTATGCCATATGTGCTGCCAAGTTGGCCAACTTCACTCCCTCCATGTTTGAGTAAGCTGTTGAAATCTTATTTTGTAATTTTATTGTTTCTACTCTTACTAGTTATATATTGGATTGTGCTTAACTAATTAAAAGCTTTCTCATAATTTCGGTTCATTGATTACATTGGGTAAGTGTCTGTAATTAAAATACACTGTGGGTGATTACCTTGTTGCCCTTTCTAGATTTTTTCCAATGATGCTTGTCCTTTACGTATGGAAGATTTGGTAACATTCATTATACAATTTTCATCTTAGACACCGTAGTTTGTAAAAGTTGTATTGGCAGTTTCCTGGAACTATAAATTTAGATTACAATCTTACAATTGTTGGTTCAACTCATTCATGGGCTTTACAGAATTACAGGTACTCCTCAAACTATAGACCCCAGACCATACCTTAGTTCAGTTTCAAGTAGATCTCTAATTGAAAATGATTACTAAATTGAAATTACCATGTTGCTTCCTTAAATTTATTATGCCAGTGCTTAAAGCATTATGAATACAAAGTATATAAGATGTTCATCCGTCTTACTCGTGCTGCATTATATATTGTCTTGTTCCCATAATTTAAATTTCGTATGTAAGCTTACAATTTTCTTTCCCTACTCTTTTTGTTGCTGTAGTAATTTGTGGGTTGATGTCAAAAAAAACTTTCTTTGTCGTATTCTTTTTCTTCCTTAAGGGTCTTAGGACAACGATGACTTGATGAGTTGCATTTTCCTATTCCCTGGGCCAATGGCTTGATGGATTAGTCCCAGACTACAATTCTTTTTAGCTTTCCTGCACCACCTATGTTAGGATTGCATATTTTTAGTAGATATTAATTAGTTGATGAGTCTTATTTTTCCCTGATATTTGATTAAATCTCACACGGTTCTATGTTAGCTGATATGCATGGGATCCCTTAATCTAATAACTGCATCCCTGTAAACTTGTTGGTTGAATGACAGTAATAAGTCTAATAACCGTGAGTTTGTGCTATTTTTGAAGATGAAACTCCTTTCTTTCCTATTCTAATGCTTTATACTGTTTTCTTTTGAGTTATTTTCTATTCTGCTTAGGAAACCAAGTTATTTACTCCTCTTTTACTTTCACAGCTGCTGCTTATGCAAAAGAACAGGGCAATAACAATTTCATGGCCTGTAAATTCAATGAAGCTATAAGCTGCTATACCAGAAGCATTGCTCTGTCACGAAGTGCTGAAGCTTATGCTAATAGGGCGATGGCACATATCATGGTCAGCAGATTCCATGAGGCTGAGGATGATTGTACACAAGCCTTGAACTTGGATCCTACGTACTTTAAAGCCTATAGTCGCTGAGCATTAGCCAGAAAGGAACTTGGTAATATCGAAGGATCCATGTATGATGTAGAGTTTGCCTTGAAGTTGGAACCAGATGACCAAGAAATGAAGCAGTTATATGCTGAACTTAATTCCTAGGTTGAGAAGGTTAGAACATCTATACTTAGTTATTATTCCAAATTCCTCGTTATGTAATCTTCTAGCTTTATATGGCTCAGTTTTATTTTGTTATTGTTATATGTATGTATAAGCTGTTCCTTTTGTGTCGCGTTATTGATGCCCTTGTTTTTTTTTGTTATTGACTCTGATCTTAATGCAGTCCCCTACAACACATTATCTCTTTCTTTCTATTTTACTGTGCTTATTTTTATGCTAATGTAGCAAGCTAGAATAATTTTAAAATGGGTGATGGATTGTATCTCTTCAGACTGTTCAGAGTTTATTACTTTTGTTTGGACCTGGGTAGAGACTATACATTTTGAATTGAGTATCTGTAAACATTTTAGAACTTCATTCAGTGTATAGATATGAGTGTACATGTTGGGTGCTTGATGATTGTGTGAACTTGTGATCAAGTGTTAATGAGATCTTCTTTCTTTGTCTCCCTTACTTTGGATTTGACTTGCTTCCATTGGCGATGATAAAAGCTTGTGGCATTTGACATTATTGAGAAAATGTTTCTACTATGTTTAGACCATCAGTTAGTTATCATTCCTAGACTAGTATATGAGTTGGGTTTAAAAAACTGTTTTAGTCTGTTTCCTTTGAGCATGAATTATGTTAAGTGACTCTATGTAAAGCATATCGTATTCATCTGCAGCATTTTTTCCCCTCAGTTTTTTCAATCTCGACATGTATTATCTTGAACTCAGGTATCCTAATGCTCTTTGTATCCTTGTAGGGGACTAGGCAACTGGCGCAGAAGTTTGATCATGAAGGGGTAGAAAATGAGCTTGCTGTCTTGCTGATGGTTTTGCAATGAAACATGTTGATGTCACTAATTTCAAAGAGTTTGTTAATTGCATTTGTTCTTTTTGTAAGGCAAATGTCATGTTTAAAAGATGATACAGATTACTATAACCACAACGATGTAGTCCTGTCAAGAAATTAAAATTTTAGTTTAAATGTGTAATGATGATTGGACCTCTAGTTTATGTCTTATGAAGTAATGATAGCTGCTACTAAACCTGCAGGAATTATGGATGCCAAAGTCTCGCTGGACAAACCTGGTAACCAAACTAACAATAAGAAAGATAATTATTTTTATTAGCATTTCTCTGCTTAATATGCAGGCAAAAAAAATGTGCAGATTTGCTAAACTCATGTTACTGGCTCATTGCTAATGATATGGGAAAATTTTCATTCTGTTGATCTTTATTCATGGGCAGAATGATAAATGTTACTTGTATGTTAGATGTACAGCTCCTTTCGAGATCTAGACTTTACTAAGTTATCTATAAACCGAAAATGGCAAATATTGATACAATGGCAGCAAAAAATGCACTTAAACTCGGAGGTATCATTGCCCTTGAAGGCCTGTCGACTTTGGTTCATGTAGTGTTAAACATGGTTAAATGATTAATTCGATGAAGGATTATTATACGATTAAATATATTACGAACCTCGTACGGGTTAAATGAATCAAATCTAAAGCATGTGTACAATATTTAGAATGTTTAATTTCCATAATCAATCACAAGCTTAAATAACGATAGAAACATCTCAAAAGGCAAAACAAACCGTATCATACTAGTAGGACATGGTCCGACACAACAATAACAACAACAACAACAATTAAGTCTTAGTCACAAAATAAATTGGGGTTTAAGTGTCCGAATAAATAATTTTTTTTTTGTTAATAAGAAACACCTTGTTAAATGTAATTGTAAATTGAATTTAGATAACACATATTAACACTTATAACAACTTTTATGAAGCAGCTTCCGGCAGAAAATTAATTATGAAAAATCGGAGGTCTCATTAGCAAAGGCGTTACGGAGTTGATTGATTTACTGAAAATCGACTTGTCAACAAAAATGACAAGTATCTTGGTATTCCCTCTGTTATTGGAAGATCGAAGAGAATGGTTTTTACGGCTTTGAAAAATAGAATCTGGAAGAAGTTGCAGGGCTACAAAGAGAAACTTTTGTCGAGAGCGGGGAAAGAAGTCCTTATAAAATCAGTCATTCAAGCTATTCCGACAACCTATTGGGTGCTTACAAGTTGCCTACTAGTGTAATTGATGAGTTGCGTTCACTTACGGCAAAGTTTTTTTGGGGTAATTCGGATAGCAGGAGAAGGGTGCACTGGATGAATTGGGATGCTCTCTGTAGACCGAAATGCTTGGGTGGGATGGGCTTTCGAGATTTGGGGATCTTCAATGAGGCTCTTCTAGGGAAGCAGGCGTGGAGATTAATTTCTAAGCCGGACTCGCTTCTTGGGCGTGTGATGAAGGGTAAGTACTACCCAAATTCTGATTTTCTTGAGTCTTCTTTGGGGTTGAATTGTAGCTATTCATGGCGTAGCATTTGGGGGGCAAAGTCTCTCGTGAAGGAGGGTCTTATCTGGCGAGTGGGGGATGGTTCGAAGATCAGAATTTTTGAGGTTCCTTGGCTTGCGGATGACAATGGCAGATTTGCTATTTCTCCTACTGTAGAAGGCATTTCTACAGTGAAAGACTTGATTGACGAGAATACTAGGGAATGGAATTATGAGCTTCTATCGACTTCCTTTGTTGAAAGGGATGTCAAGTGTATATTGGCAATTCCCTTGAGCCCCCGTGGCCGGGAAGACCTGCTGACTTGGGCATTCTCCATGAATGGTATGTATTCGGTGAAGACGGCCTATATGTTGGGAAAATCATGCGACTTGGATGCCTTTCACCAAGCTTGGGTGCTGATATGGAGTCTTGAACTATCCCGAAGGTCAAGCATTTCTTGTGGAGTATTTGTACTAATTCCCTCCCGTCTTGCTCCCTTCTTCATTATAGACATATGAAGGACTCAGATTCCTGTCCTTGGTGCCCAAATACCGCTAAAACGACACACCATGCTCTGTTCAACTGCCCTGCTGTCCAAGATCTCTGTGTATCACCCTTCTCTCACTGTATTGAATTGCAGTAACGTGTAGTTAATTTGAAAAACTCTTCATTGGTATATTCATATGTATAACTTCCATATTTAAATTTAACATATATATATTTGGTGCCACATGTGCGCCGAGTGTCACCTCGACGAAGAGGTAGCGTTGACTACACTGTCGGAGAGGGAGGGGCGACTACACTGTCGAAGGGGGAGGGACGACGACGGCAGGCGGGTAGAGGGGGGGAGGTGGGTTTTCTGGTGGGGGAAGAGGAAAGGGTTGGGTGGGTTACACTGGGAAGGGATTGGTTTTCTTCTGTACTTGTAAATTTTTTTGTAACCTTTTCTTCAGGTAACCAGTAATTATTCCTCAAAATAAGAAAAATAGTAATCGGTAATTGGGATTGAAGAAAGAAAACGCAGTAGAAAGTTGGAATTATTACAAAATAATCGAAAGTTGGGATTATTCAAAGTAAATCAAGCAGTGATTATTAAAATGTATTTTTCCTATTTTAAATTAAAATTGGTAACCGTACATTATATTAGACTGTTTTTAAGTTTTAATTTTTATCTAGATAGAATATTTAATGAAGTGGGCCTAAAGGTGAAAATTGGAATTGGGGTTAATTCCAAAAGTAACCCGTATAATATTCACATATAAAAACCTTTAATAAATCTTCTTCTAAAAAAACAAATAAACACACCCTTTGTTTCTACTTGTAGGGTTTTACACAGTAAGTTATGACAACCGGCACAGCCTCAGCCATGACTACCTTTAATCGCGGTTGGAGCTTCCAGAAGCTTCGGCCAGAGATGAAGAAGGATCCTGAAAGTTATGAAGATGAATTACAATCATTATACCGTGATTTCAATTACAGCATTGAGCCTTTCGAGCAGCAAATTGATTTCGGTTTCACCTCGTTAAGCGATGATTCCACCGCCAACAAAGAACTCGGCGATAGAGCCTTCTTCCTTGCTCAATTGTCATCTTCTTATCCTCGACATCTCTGTGATTTCCCCGACCTCCTCGTTTATCTTCTTCATCGTGTTGCTACTCCCGTTTCTCTCTCGCCTTCTTTGAGATCACTGCGCTTCAAACTCACTCAATCGCTCATTCTTCTTCTTAATAGAAATGTAATTCACTTTGTTTTTTGATTGTTATATTTCGATGCAGAAATTAAGTTCGATTCGATGGTGTTGCAGGTTGTGTTTATTGATAAGGAGTTCGAAATCCGTAACACCAAGACTAAGACGACTTTGTTAGCGTTGTTTATGAAGCTTCAGGCACTGAAAGATAGGAATTTGAAGAAATTGGCGTATTCACATGTCGTTCTTTCGATTAAGAAGCACAAGAATAATCATGCTAGGAATAAGATTTTGCAGAATGTCGTTCTTCATATGCTTCAGGTCTGTATCAAATTCTGATTTCGAGATACAATAATTTATGATTCAAATTTAAAATAAAAATACCTCTAGTTGTACATAGAAAAAGGTCGGTATTAACTAACGGCTAAATCTCTATTAAAGCGGTACAATTTTATCATCCATTTCATAAATAAAATGCACCACGTCACTAAAGTGTTACATTTTATTTACGAAACTGCCACTGTGAGAAACAAAAACGTTTCTCACTGTGATTATTCGGGGCGCCCTCTTAACTAACTTAAGCTGTTACCAGAGTGGGGAGGAGGCATTAGCAAGGAGGTCTCTTGTTGTGCTATGCAATCTGCACCGGATGAATGTATGGTCTGATGCATTAGTTTCAAACGCAATATGCCGTGCTTGTCACCATCCTACATTACGGTATCTACTAACACCTACCTTAAAGTATAGATGAATCATGAATGGACTGACTGACTGAAGTTAATAATTTCTGGATTCATCAGGCAAGCTGCTCTTTCCTTTCTTCTTAGTTATCAGATGATTGAAGAAGATGATGAAACTGATGCTTCAGGCAATGAAGATGAGGGGTGTGCTCAACAAACACGAGTTGTTCTCCATAGAGAGCAAGTCGATAAGGTCTCTTCTATTTCTACATTTGGCTATACTTGAATTGTTAATGTTAGTCTAAGTTGAAATGTGAAGATGAAATTATCTGAAAGCTTAATTTTTCTGATGGTTTGATTTCTAGTTTGAATATGATTGGTAATGTAATACATTCCTATAACTTTAGGCTCGCCATAAGGGCACAACATCAAGCAAAAAGAAAAAAAAGGCTAAGTTGAAACGTGAGATTTGTAGCATGAAAAGGCAGCAGCGCTTGAGTTCGGAGAAAACTGGTTCAAATCACTATTCGCCACTTTCAGATTTGCACGATGCAGATGTACCTATGCTGCTGCTTTCTTTTTGATTTGATATATATGTCATTTATGCTATATGGCGGTTTAGTTATTAATGTTCTTTTTTCAAAGGCATTTGTGGATGAGCTGTATTCTTACCTTCATAGAGATATAATAGAAGAGTTCAACTTTCTGAGGTGAGTGCGTTGCCTTTTATCTGATGAGAATCATTAATTGATTCAACTCAACAAAAATCCCTCTACACCGCTTTATTGTTAGGAGCTTGGCTTTTATGGATAAATCTGATTATATAAGCTCAACAGAGCTCATTCAGGGGTTATTCTTTGGAAATTATGTGTTTTATAAGTACTGAGATAACCTTGATAAACGAGCTATTGTGGTATGCAGGTTAACATGATGACAATTATAGTGATTGCTCGGACAATTGGGCTTCACCGATTGATCAAGCCAAAGTTCTATTGTTTCCTTGGAAAGTATTTGATGGTTTGTGTTCCATCTCATTGTTGCCTTTCAAAAAAATTCGATAATAGTATCTGATTTGCAGCTTCCCTCATGTCATGCAGCCCCATGAGAAGGAGATTACTAAACTACTTGCTGCTGCTGTTGAAGTCTTCCATGTTGATGTCAGTTTGCGGTGTCTTGATTGCTTTGTCTCTTTAGTTGTCTTCGTTACTTTAATTTTCTGGAGCAACTTTTTACATTATTAACTTCCCTTCCTTGCTTATTTACAATTCTCAATTATTTTTGTTTTTGTTTTTGTTTTGCTGTATTAGGTTCCAGATGATGATGTTAAACCCCTATTTCTTCAGATCGTAAATAACTTTTTACACAATAGTTCGTCGCAACCAGAGGTATTGATTGTATGATAGATATTACTGTAAATCTAGAAAAACTATTGACTCAAAGCAATGGAGAAATGTTGTGTTAAATGGTTTTATATTTCTATATTCTGAGCACTGATTTATGCAGACAATTTATTACTCTCGTGATGTCAATGTTTGCCTCTCTAATGTTCTATCTTCAGTTTCTTGTTTATTTGTTTAATTTGGTGAAATAATTATAGTGTTGCTTACTGAAACTGGACAGGCATTTGCTGTAGGATTGAATGTGGTCAGAGAGATATGTCTACGCATGCCTCGGGTACTCAATCACTCTTCTGATTTCAAGCCTTTGTTTAGAAGCCCAATTTCAATTTTTGAAATGTACAATTGCAACTTGTTTTGTATACGTGTGTGTTTGGTTGGTTAATGGGTGGAGTGGAATTGATTCTTGCATCCTCTTTTGATCTTTGTATCATATGCTTGTTCAGTATGTAGTTTCCTGAATTGTTGTTTCATAGTCACATTAAAAGATGATTTTTCTCTCAGTTGCTTTTTTAAGTCCATCTTCTAACAACATTTTCTTACTTTGTGTGTTCTAGTTGATGAATGATGATTTGCTACAAGAACTTGTGTTATATAAGAAAGAAAATGTAAAGGCAATTTCACTTGCTGCCCACTCCCTTCTCAAATTGTTCAAAGAGGTAACCACTGCCTTATTTCCTCTATCCTTGAGCATTGTTTCCTAGGTTAATCCTTCACTACTTGCAAAAAAACACCGTGGACGGTCTGCTGCAAATGTTAAACCTAAACAATATGGAGAGGCGAGTGATGCAACCGATGTCCCTGGAGCTGATTTGCTGCGGCAAGGTAAAGAATATGATGATCAAGATTATGACAGTATCAAAGTTGAGAATGATGATGCAGAGGATGATGATGATGGCAGTGAGGATGCAGAGGGTGATGCTAGTGATGAGGATGCAGAGGATGATGCTGGTGATGAGGATGCAGAGGATGATGATGATGATGTAACGTCTTTTAATTGCTTAGGGGATAGTGCAGTGAATGAATGTTGTGCTGAAGTTGAGTCCAAGGTAGGGGATGATGACAGGATTACCGCTGGTGAGGAGTTTCGGGAAGATGATGTGGATATGGAAGACGAATTTAGTAGTTTGATTGAATCTGATGGTAGTCATGTACAGATTTCTGGAGAAAGGAAGAGAAAATATGCTGATTTTGACCAACAATTAGATACTGCTGATTCTGATTTTAGAGCATTGAAGAAATTAACAGTACGTAAGTCGGAACACATGTCCGAAGCAGATGATCACTTCTATTCTAATGAAGAATTCCAACAAATCAAAAAATTGCTGGTAAGGTTCATGCTCTGTAAATTCTCCACCAACCTTTTAGTTCAATAGTCATTTCATTGCATTGTACATTGTGATGCAAATGGTTTGCTTTGATACAGGCTACAGAGTGTGAATTGCGAAAGTGTTCAGGTTCCAAGTCAACAACTTTGTTCCCAAGTTCAGACCAATTAAGTCTCAAGCCAGTTAATCCTGCTAAACTTGAAGTAAGTTAACTTATCTCAAACTATAAATTAAACTTTGTTGCATTCTGTGGGACTTTTCATGCCCATGTTGTGTTGTGTCTGTTTGAGGATGTTCAAGTTTGAAACTTTTAGTTTGGAAAATGTTGAGCTAAATGCTCTATTGTCAGGTAGATTAATATATACTACTGCTGTACAATATCTGCATTATTTCCATGGCTGAATGTAGCTGCTGTTCTCAAGCTTAACTTGTCCTGGGCTAATGTAAAAGTTATTACAGTTTCAGGAATTATTAAATTCTCTTGTTAATTTGTTGGTGACTTTCAAATTCTCATTGCTTAATTATCTCCAATTAACAAGATAAATTTGACATATTGATATTTTGTGGACTTATATTTCTGTGTAAAGTGTATTATCAGATTTAGCAGAACTAAGTCAAAATAAAATGGATCTACCAAATCTTGCAACAAACACATTGCACTTTAAATACAGAAACTTGTGCTGTTTCCTTCCACGAACACTTTGTGTTCATAATTTTAAATCGGATAAGGTTAACTTTGACCATTAATTTTGAAGCTATAGTACTTCGTATAAGATTACTTGTTTTCTTAATTGTTTTTTGGAGACCCCAGAAAAAAGGACACAAACAGAAGAGCTCATTTGTTCTTGCATCTTTCTTAGCGCATCCAGTCACTTCATATGGATATTTTTTTCTGTTGTGAAAAAGTGATAGCGACAATCTTTTTTTTTTTTTGAGAGGGAAAATCAAAGGGATTTATGGATTATGTTCTCGTCTTTTATCCTCCCTTCTTCTCTTAATTTTACGCAGTGATGTGGCAAAATAAAAGGCTAATCTGACTTTAAGGTAAATATCTTGTTTGTGTTATGTGGTTACAGGCAAATATCAAAAGAAAGATGACCAAGAAGGAAAAACTGGGAAGTATGATGGCAGGAAGAGAAGACAGGGACGAATACAAATCACGAGCTGCTGTAAAACAAAATAAGGTTTGTTTATCTAGTCAATCCTCCTTTACACATATCCATGAGGTGTAAGACGTTGCTCACCCTTTTTTGCATTCTATAGCATTTTTAACTTATAAGCAAATTCTTCATGTGTACTGGAATATGTTATCATTGCTATGATATGACTTCAGTAGTTGCTCTTGCTGTTAAAGTCGTCATTTTCTTTAGTGCCGTTTTTTTTTAGTTGTATTGCCTGTTATAGTTGAGCATAGTGGTGATGGACTCAAGTATATATGTCATAAAAGATATAAAAATATACGAGTAGCGCTTTGTCCCTTTTTGTATGCACCATGGTTTGGCACGGTTTATATTTTAGTTATGGATTGGACGGGAGAACTGAATGGAGGCTGATGGTTTTCTTTTTTGAATATTTATTTGTTTTGACATCGTTTTCTTACGATCAATAGAAGGGTGGTTCAAGCAACCGGCAGAAGGATCATAAGAAGATTATGCCTATTGCTGCAAAGAGAGGCAAGATCGCAAGAACCAAACAAGAGAAAAAGAGAAAACAGATATCTTCTGGTAAACAGTTTCGAGGGAAGAAGGCATGGAAGTGAGTTATTTTACTGTATGAGTCATTTATTTGTGACATCTAACTTGAGGAATGTCTCCTTGGTCGAGGAACCAATGACGCATAACAGGACTTTATTTATTTTAATTTTTAGTTTAAAGGTATTTAAGATGTACACCTTTTATTGATGTTTTAAGTTTAATTATTATGATATTTTGCTTATAATTTTGAAACCTTTGGGAGTTAATATATATGATCACCCGTAGTCTTATTCTGATAATCATTTTTGTAGGATGCATTAGGGGTTTTTTTTTTTATTTATTTATTTTATGCAATAGTAACTCATCTTAATAGGTACTTTAAATATATCAAACATTTATTTTATAGAACTTGATAATTTTATTTTTGCTGCTTCTTCACTAACTCTAAATAAACTTTACTAAACATTGCACGATTACACAACTTCAACACATCCTTTGATGGCGCATTTATGTGAAATAAATTTAATTGGAGATCAACAACATATGTGATAGAGAGGTAGCTTTGAACAATCCTAATTCTCACTCTATTCACCATTGTTAGACTACATGGCAAAGAAGGGGCACACCACCATGAAATTTTACTTTGGTCCTTTAATAATTTTACACCTTCCCTCTCCCTTATCATCATCCAAAAGGATGATTTAGGTATCCCCAATCAAAAGGGCCAATCAAGCTTCTTTCACTCATCCAAAAAAAAAAAAAAAAAAAAAAAAAACTTCCAACACAATAATCTCAATAATAAGTCATCAATACAATCTTTTTCTCTTGCCTCTTCCTCTCTAGCTACAAGGGCTAATATCATCATCTCTTTGATGATGATAAGCCCCAATTCTTTCTTTTATTTCCTTTGTTTTTTGTTTTTTAGTCATTAATAATCCTCCTTGCTCTCTCTTAATGAGAGTTTTCTTCCCAATTTTTGGATTTCTTCTCTCCTTTTGTGAGAGTTTGGTGTTTGTCTTTCTTCTCTTTCCTTAAGAAAAATTGAAATTTGTTTTTATTAGTCGTACAATTTTGCAATTGGCGTTGGAATTAAGGATGAAATCTACATGGTCAAGTAATGAATTTTCTTCCCAAAACTATGTCAAAAAAATGGACTCTCTCACAAAAGCCTGCATAATTTAGCGAACAAGAGGGATTGTGTTTCACCATTAGATTTAGTTTCTCATCATCATAGTTCTTTAAAGAGGATTTTTACTTGATTAATTTAAATTGTATTTTACTTTTTTATATTACTTACTGTAAATGGCATATGACTTTTAATTAATAAAATTTCATCTTTCCCTTTCAAAAAAAAAAAAAAAAAAAAAAAAGTTACCATGCAAATAGGTGTAAGATATTAGGGCAAATTGTTAAAACTCTTTTCAACGGACTAACATCGCTAGTAATTTTGAAAACTCAGTGTCCTTTTTGTACTTGTGTGCAGTGTTTATTTTGACTCTATTTTTCTTTCAATGCTATATTTATAAAACATTTTTCAATATGGTTCTTCGGCTATTAATATCATTGATTGATTAATAACTTGCATAAACTATGTAATGTTGATATTATGAGAATTGAGAAAATGTATTGTAAATTATTCAACAACATATTATATGATACGAAGTAACATTTGTACTCCCTCACTTGACTTTTTTATTTTTTTTTTGGAACTTTGACCATCTTTTACTACTACTTGTGTTATATAAAATTAAATCTTATAAAAACTTGATATTCCAAAACTATAATTAAGATAAATTGAACAACTTACTTATCAACATTTTATTTTATATAATAGCAAAAAAAAAGGGCAAAATCTATTAACTAATACTAAAACAAAACGTTGTTGACATCATGTCTTCTCCAAATTGTACACAAGTCACTCTGACATAAAAAATATTTCCCGCCAATTTGCTATGGTGATGTCATTAGTTTTTATATTTTTTTACTTTTACCTTTATTTTTTTATCTAATAAACCTTTTATATGTTTTATCCTTTGTCCCTGAGTCTTATTTTTTTTTTTTTACAAGTATGATAATATTTTAATGTTCAAAAGTGTTCATTGTGATTTTTTTTGTTTTATTTTTATTTTTTTTTAATGTATATTTTACAAATAATATGCTACAGTAGAAATTAATAACCATGTATACAAAAAATTAACGAAGTAGAAAACTTTCTTTCTCCACATTATAAACAAATCTCACAATGTATTTGTCTAAAATCGTACATCGTACGGGAACTAAACTAGTTGATGAATATTGTCAGGTGTCTCAATTATTCTATGACGTAGGAAGTATTTATTTATTTATTTATTTACACTACTAGAAATAGGTTGATTTACGACGGACTGTTTCCAACGGACACTTAATTCCGTCGGAAACGTTCGAAGTTCCAACGGATTTTTATTCCGTCGGAAATTTCCGACGGAATAAAAATCCGTTGGAATATAAAGGTTTCCGACGGAATATTCCCTCGGAAAATAACATTTCCGGCGGAATTATAATCCGTCGGAAAAAATCCGTCGGAATTTTCCGACGGAATATTCCCTCGGAAAATTACATTTACGGCGGAATTAAAATCCGCCGGAAAATTACCAAGGGAATATTCCGTCGGAATGGTAATATTACCGAGGGAAAATCCGTCGGAATGGAGGTAATTATTTAAAAAAAAAAAAAAAAAAAAAAAAAAAAAAAAAAAGAATCCGCCCCCTCCCCTTCATTTCTTCCATTTCTCTTTCTCTCTCCTCCTCCTCTGTCCCTCGTCTTCTTCCTCATATCTTCTCCTTCTCCCTCATTCTTCTCCTCTCTCGTTCTCGTTCTCCTTCTCCCTCACTTCTCCTCCCTTATCTTCTCCTCCCTGTCGTTCTTCTCTTCTCCCCTTCTACACCATCAACGAACAACAACAGGGAACACAACGAACAGCAACAACAACCAACAACAGCCGCCAACACCAACAACAACCTCAACGAACAACAACAGCAACGTCAACGAACACCAACAGCAACATAAAAGAACAGCAACAGAAACGCCGCCAACAGAAACGGTTTTTTTATATATTTTAGATTGTAGATCTAGCCTTTTTTTTCCTTTTTAATTCCGATTTTAGTTAATTATTGATGTCATTGTAATGTTAATGTATAATTTTTGTTAAATTTATGTACATTTATATATTTCTTTGAATTGATTTGGTTAATTTTTGTTGATTTTTTATGATAATTTTCGATTTTTTTGGGGAATTGAATTGTGTGTTGGTTAATTTTTTGGGAATTAATTGTTTCGATTTTCTTTTCTTTGAATTGATTTGGTTAATTTTCGATTTTTTTTGGGTGTTGGTGGTGTTTCGGTGACAAGGGTTGGGATTTGGTGGGGTACGGTGGTGGGCTAGTGGGTTTGGGTGTGGGTTGGTAGTGGTCAGTGAAAGTGGGATAGGTGGTGGTGTTCGGTGGTGAGCTAGTGGGTTTGGGTGTGGGTTGGTGATGGCGGTGGGTGGATGAGGGTGCTTGGTGCGTGGTTTTTTTTTTATTTCTGGGTGGGGGGGGGGGGTTCTGGGTAACAGTGGTGGTTTACGAGGGGTGGTCTGGTCTGGGTGGGGAGGGGGGGTCTGGGTGTGGGTGGTGGTGCCGGAGGTGGCAGGGCTTTGTTTTTTATTTTTTTTAGCAGCAGATTCCGACGGAAATTCCGTCGGAACTTTCCGGCGGATTTGAAATCCGTCGGAAATTTCTGACGAACTTCCCGGTGACCGGAATACCTCTTCCGACAAAGATATTCTGTCGGAAATTCCGTCGGAATAGTGTTTTCCGACGGAATTGTAATACCCCGTATTTTTGAAAGGCATTTTCTAAATTAGAGAGTATTTAGTCTCGTATTTTCGACGTATTTTCTAACTTAAGAGTATTTCAGTTTTGGAGCCAAAATGATATTTGAATTTTGGCGCCTAAATCATTTATTAAATGGATAAACTAAAAATTTTATAAATAGTATTTTGATTAAATAAATAATAAAACAAAACTATATTAATTAATAAAATTAGAGGCATTTTAGAATTTAAAAATCTGATTTTTAAATATAATTTCGGATTTTCCCAATAAAATCCAATTTTACTTAATACCTTGCTAAACTAATTATTTTCATGAAATGAAATTAATTTCCTAAAACTAAATAAATATCATTTTCGTATTTTTTTTACAATTAAAAATCTGATTTTACTCTAAGTAAAAGTATTTTCATAAAACAAAATTAATTCCTAAACTAATGAAGCATATTTTCGGATTTTTATATATTAAAAATCTGATTTTTATTAATTATTTGCTAAATTATTTTATAAAATAAAATGATTTTCAAAATTTATCAAATAATATTTTAAACTTTATATAATAAAAATCTGATTTTTATACCTTAATATAGTTCAAATTCGGCCACCCTAATAATCTAGCAAGAAAAATTGATTTTATTCTTTCAAATACCTATAAACTTATTAATTTTTGACAAATAAATTATTTTATAAAACCCCTAAACTAACATGATAGGTCCGAAAATATTGAGTGATATTTTGATCGATATTTTCGGCCAATCATGATTTTTTCTACAAAGATTTTAATTTATTTTATTAAAAATAAAATCTCTTAAATTCCTTTACTTCCATTCTTAAACCTAAGAATATTTTATCCTTGCACTCCAAGCTTAAAAATTACCAATGGAATTTCATGATAAAAAACTTCCATAAATTTATAAACCCTAAGATGCCATAAACCCATCCCCTAAACACCTATAAATACCCCTTTCATACACCCCAAAAATCACACCAAAAACCTCAAGAATTCTCTTCTTCTTTCCCCCTCTTCCTCACGGTTTTCCTCCTCTCCCTCCTTCCATTTTTCCGGCCACCGGCGACCACCCTCACCGGCGACCACCTGCTGCCGCCAGCAGCCACCAGCCGCCACTCCAGCCGGCCACAGCCACCCTTTCTCCTCCCTTGCATTGGTTCCTCCACCATCCTTTAATCCTTCCTTCCTCTTAATCTTATTTATATTACTAATCATCTTCCTAAATATTATTCTTACACAAATTAGTTTTATAAAAACAGAAAATTCTTTACATTATAAACAGAAAATTATTTTATCTAAGGATAATTAATTCATGCACATGTAGGGTAGTTTAATTAAATTGTTGTGTTTATTTGATAACCTTATATTAATTAAGGTTATAATTATGTGTAGGGTGTTCGTGATTTAGAGAAGTAGTTGTGAATCGCTCGTGATTGATCAAGGTACGTTATGTGGTTTGATACCTTCGAAAGTTGATTAAGAAACTACATTTTATGATCGTATGAAAGTATAATTTATTCCGTATGAAATTTTATTTGTGAAACTATAATTTATGTTCCGTATAAAACTATGATTTATTATGAGACTATAAATTATTATGTTCCGTATCAAATCATATTTTATTACATTCCGTATTAAATCATGTTTTATGTTTCGTATGAATTTATGATACTATGTTCCGTATTAAAATTATGAAATTTTGTCTGATTGAATTAAATGATTTGGATCAAAAGGGCCTTAAATTGTGATTGGAAGTTATTGGAAATGATTTGCAAGTTATGTAAATGTGATGGATTTTTTTAAAGAAGAGTTTTTCTTACACAAATCAATCGATATGTTGAATCCCACTTAGGGAATGGTTTAGAGAAGACTATGGACTTTGCATGACCTAGTCTTTCCTCAAGTTTGGCCTTTG